GCCCTCCCTCCACAGCTCGTCCTCCACAGCGGAGCCCGTCGTGAACGCGCAGGCTAGTAAACAGGCCCACCGATGACGGCGGATAAAAAGTTATATGGCACATTCACTAATAGGGACTAAACGTCAATAATATGCTTTACATTGACTATGGCCTGCCCATACTTTGACTACAAACTTGGTCCTCAAATCATTATGTATTTTCCAATAGCCTACATGTAACTTCATAACGTTGCACTCTTTCTATAGGTTATAAATAGCTAGTAAGATAACGTTAACCCGTTTAATCCCAAATTTTTTCTTGCAACTTGAGTACATGCATTTTACTCCTTAGACCTCCCTAACACTCAAACATTATGCTTTTTTGGATTTTATGTTGGTTAAGTTAGTGAAATATTAGGTTTTATACTCGGTCACAATAGTGACCGGTGGGAAACAACATAGTCAGAATTCATTCAAATTCTTCAATTAGACCTATTGACACAATTCATTCCAAGACATCCAATATCTCGTTTTGTCATTTCGTGAAGAAGGCTTAGTGAGGTGAAAGGGTTGTCATGTACAAAGTTACACCCTGGAGGAACTTCTGCTTGTTCGGCTAGACCCGTATGGGCTAGACCATGCCTACACTTGGGCCCTGTCCTAGGCCAGTTTCAGGGAGATGTGTGTGCACTCATTCAGTGCACTGAAGATGGGCCGTACGTTGTAGAAAGGGTTGTTTGTGGTCATGTGTGGAGCACACCAATTGGTTCTCATGAACATCTGCCCAATCCTCCAGATAATTCACCTCTGCATCGCCATTCAATAGTCTACTTGGCAAATGGGCTGTTTCACCCTGGTACTCCCTATCTGAGCCATCACTACAGTCACTTTCAATTTAGGGTGGGGGTGGGGGTGAAGGGGGTCTCGTACGTCAAGAAGGTCCAACACATTGACCGTTTCTGGGACACTCATCACTACACTGAACAAAATTATAAACGCAATAATTTTGTTTTTGCCCCCATTTTTCATGAGCTGAACTCAAAGATCTAAGACCTTTTCTATGTACACAAAAGGCCTATTTCTCTCAAATATTCTTCACAAATCTGTCTAAATCTGTGTTAGTGAGCACTTGTCTTTTGCCAAGATCATCCATCCCCCTCACAGGTGTGGCATGTTCAGTGTAGGATTGCCAAAACCTGCCAATACCAGCCAATACCTGTGATTTCTATTGAAGCACTGTGTTATACTACCGGTCACAATTGTGACCGTAAACAAATTTACACGTCTTACGAGCAAAATATATATGCAGGAGTATAATTCTCAAAATATATCAGTAGTAGACCCTTTAAAGAATATATGTACAAAATATGATAGTTCTATATGTAAATTAAGATGTTTTATATACTACTTTTTGTAGTAGTCTGAGGAAGACATCTTCTTCTAGATGTGCAAGCAGGAAGTGAACTGATCTGGTCATGTGACCTTTCACACTAGTCACATGACATTAATTGATTTTAATCAAGACAATCTATTTTGTCATTTAAAAGTTGAATTTCTTGCCCAAAGTCAATTACAACATTTTTAGAGCTTCCAGAAATAAGAAAAAAGCTGCGGTCACAATTGTGACCGGTGGGATTAAACGGGTTAATATAACGGTAACTAACGTTACAGTATGTAAGTAATTATTCTAGCGATATATAATGCTAGATAAGGTGTGCTAGTACATTATTTCAGCAACATGAGTCAGTGAATTAGCAGGTTTCAATTGTTGCTTAGCAGAGTGCGTGACATTTTATCTACATGTTATGCGGCTAGAGCTTTGACACCGAGTCAATGGACTCTGTGTAATTCTTTCTTTTTTACTTGTTTATCGTCATCAGTCTTTTTCCTTTTACCTCTTTGTTTTATGAGCAGGTGTCACTCGAGAATTGGCAGTTTAGGTTGTTTCTCCGTCATAAGCACAGCTGCAGCACGCCGGCAATCTTGAGTTTGAACGACGGCTCGCGCTCCGGCGCTCGCGCTGTGCAAGAGAGGGGTGTGATCAG